AGCACATTATTTGGCCCTCGTAAAATCTTAGATACAATTGAGTATTGTCCAACAGACATTCCACAAAATAATGTTATGTTAATTTCGGATCTTCCTTATAAAGTATTTGAGTCAGATAAAGTATTTGACTCAACTAACCTGAACCATGTGTAAATAGTTCTTATTATTTAACCACACTACCTCCCCCGCCACAGCAACTGAAAGAAGCTGAGAACAACAAAATGACCGCCCCGTCCAGCAATGTCCCTGTGGATACATTACTAGATTTAACTGACAGTTCCAGCTCAGTTAAAACTGTGCTGCCTTGGGATGACTCAGGGCTTAGAGAGGAGGCTATACGGTTACACTACACTAACAGGATCAACGAACAAATTGAAACGGTATTTTATTTTTCATCATTTAATGAAAATAATCTTTGGACATGTATGAATTTTCGTGTAGTTTTAATGGCCCTTTGACCCTCAACTATTGAACTTGACATGATAATCGACGTAGAAATTTATTAAATTCAGCCTTATTATGAGCTCAGTTCTGTTAAAATAATTCTACTGGTAACCTCTCAGTTCTTAATATGATATTTGATAATCTCCCAGATCCAGAAGGCAGAGGGAGAGTGTATCCTCAACAAAAGAGAGTGTATCGGATTGAAGAAGAGATTACACATAGCAGAGAAACAACACAACCAGTTCGCGGTGGACATGTGTAACAACGACAAGGTTAGACAGCAGCTTGAAGAGGAACTGACTCTCACTAAGGACAAGTATGAAGCGCAGATAGCGCTTATGAGCGAGCACTTGTGCGCTATGAACGATAAGCTGGTTAATCTGAACGAGGAGAACCAGACCTTGAAGCTGGATACTCCTAAGCAGGGCAGGAAGAAGTGGTAGTTTGAGAGGAGCACACATTTAGTTCTTTTACGTTAAGTTATACCTTTATTTTTATGAGTTTTCAGTGAGGTTCAGTTTGTTTGCCGTTTTAGAATTCCCACAATATTAATACCCACATGCTCTTGTAATGCCCCTCTAATGCATGAAATAACCTGGTAATCATGCAGAATATATTTATTAGAACCCACCAATAATTAGATTATAGTGTCCCTATAATTCACAAGTTAAGCCCAGAGTAAACACTTATTATCATCCATGCAATATGTTATCAAATGTAAAACTTTTTCGTACGTTTTTTTGTCTGAATTTAAAAATTGATTGGTTTATAGTAATACTTTTTCATTAAATTTAAATTTAAGTCCGTTGGTCCGATTGATTTTCCATACAAGGGATTTTGTACAATTTTCAACGAGATAAATTCAAAGATAACTTTCCATTCTCGTACTCGCTTGACAATTGTTAATTTACGAACTATTTTTTGTATAACTATATTTTCTGCTATTAACAGTTCATGATTTATAGCTTCTGAATGCGGTATATTTTTAGTTAGCGAGATGTCCCAATTGAATTTGTGTTATACGATTGAATCTAAATTCTGTTCTTAGATAGCTACTCGTATTTCTATTACATAATATTAGGACAAAGTACAACCCCTCGCTAAACCAACACTGTAGAGACGAGAATAAATGTTACACAAGGTTCCCGAAATTAGGGACAGTCCTGAATAGACTTCGCGTTTGTGTATTGCGCAAAGTCTGTATTGTGGTGAAATGATCAGTTTTGGCAGCGTGATCACGTACGGATTTATAACGCGCAGCACGACAAAGTCAATCAAGTCTGGAGCTGTACCCGGAGATATAATAGTCCGCCGGGGATATAATAGTCCGCCGGCCCTCATCACAAAATCTCAAATCACTCGCCCAAATTTTAAATACAAAATAGTCTTCTCAGTATATCCTGAGGGTATGAAAGTGACTGCCATCAGTTTATTTTTGAGCGCTGATTCTAAATCATATTCTATGACCAATGACGTAGGCTTTGACACATGTTGCATTTTCAATTTTCCCTTTTCGCCGACCGGCACACATTATATTATTAAGGGGGCCGCTACGACATACGAGCTCGAAAGGATTGACATCGTCAACTGTCTATTGTAAACTGTAAATGCATAACAGAAACGTCGAGAAACATTTTAACTGCGATAGTGAAGTCCCGGCCTTGATTCACGATGTCAATCCTTCGCAGCTCGGTGAGGCACAGTGGTGCATCTCGCCGATCTACCGAAGGTTGCGAGAAGCATTATTGGATGCGCGCGCGACCCAATAGTGCATCGCGCTACAATCCCGGCCGTAAGCGCGCACGGGTTACTATACACTTACTGTCACCAAGATGCAGTAGTAAGCCTAATATAACGCGGGGTTAGGCCTAATTTTGGCGTTAGGCGTAACAGCGCAATCAATTTAATTGATTTGTAGTGGTGTAATATATAATTATAATTTACTTAAAACTAATACTACGCCGCGCAATGTCATTTTGGGGACGTGTAACGACTGAAACGAACCTGTGTTGATGAAGGAGCACATAGTTCATATTCCAAAGGAGCACCTTCTGCTAATTACCCTGACAACCACCAGCCTTTAAATACCCACCACGAAGTAAAAACAACCTTTCCCTAGTACTTTTCACACTGTTTACACTTGCTATCAATTAAAATCTTCCGATTTGCTTGCGATATGCTGTCAGTTAAAAGGATTAAATCAGTTTTCTGCCGCAGGAGGAATCCTGACCGGGTGTACATGATGGAGGATGACCGGAAACCTCGCAACTTTCTCTCACGAACCTTAAAAGCACTCGGCTTCAAACCAAGAATGAGGAAGTACAACCCGGACAAATTTGATCATATTTCTGGTGCTTCTTTAGCAAAAATACAAACAGCTGTCCATATCCAAACTAAAGTTTTGTCAAACTTTTCACTTATAGATACCGATGACTCAGATTTTGAAGATGAGTTGGGCTTGGAGATAATCGACGTAGAGGTGGAAGTACCTCGCGACGACAAATTAGGAGATCAGGAGGAACCTGAACCACTGATCATAGCTTTTGAATACCCGGAGGAGGAGATGCCTGTGTGGTTCCATCTAGGATATGGTTGTGACCCACCTGATCAGGTAGAGTTTTCATGGTTACGGTTTCTTGGTTTTAAGTCTGATCACTTTGTTTAAATTTTCGTGGCTCAACATTTGTTTTATGATTAAAATTGGGTAGGGCTGGTTTACTTGGACAACAAAACATTTATGACGACCCTTTGGGGTCTGAGGTCGTTTGAGTTCAAGTAAACAGGCTTCAGTTTCACTCACAATTTATTGACAGAGCTTGGGAGTTGGGTCGCTTAAAATTTAAAATTTGCATGCTAGGGCATAGGGGCAGGACCGAGGGCGGGTTTACTTGGACAACAAAACATTTATGACGGCCCTTTAGGGTCTGAGGTCGTTTGAGTTCAAGTAAACGTGAAACACGTTTCTTTAAAAACGGGTATAGAGCAGACTGTTAAATTTTGAAAATTTGGAAATAATTTCGGGAATAGGGGGTACTAACATTTCAGTTCAAGAATAAAAAAGATCCTTGGAGACGAACACATTCTGATTCATAGATTAATGGTATTGGTATTGGTATACTGCAATCAAGGTGAATATTATTTCAGAGTTTTATCATTTTATTTTTAAAGAATTATTTTTTACCATTTTCAGATCTGATTCTGAATACGCCATGTCTTAAGTCTTTGATGTTTGAATTTGTCTTCCTTTATTTACGCATTAACGAAGGTTGATGGTTGAGGACACATCAACTAACTGTTTTACAAATTCAGGTAGAAACGAAGTAGAGAAAATGACGCACAGAGAAGAGTAAGACAAAATAATCGAGAAGACATCGGCCGTACGGCGATTTAGATATTTTGATAAATTATAACAATATAACAAATCATTTTAAACCTTTCCTATTTTTACAAATATGACGTCTCTTACTTATCTATACACTATAATATCTGACATTCAAAGTGAAACAACTAAGAAAACAATAAAAGGGTCCGGGTCGGAGCACGCTATTGCTAAATCACTCTACAGTCGATCTTCGAGATTTTTCTAAAAGGGTCCCTGACAGTTGAAATCTACTTGGTTCGATGTATTTTCGAACGGTGATTCCGAATCACCACACATGACATAGGGTTAAAATGCTCCTCTAGCGAGATATCGACAAAAACTGTCTCGATCACGTCATATGACCATATAAGTATAACTATAAGGAAGTCTTACTCTTAGGGTTTCAGAATATAATTCAGTTAGGGTTAGGGTTGAGATCAGATTAGAGGGTTTCGAATAGTCATTCAGAGCCACCTAGGGCTAGAGTGTAGAGGACGTGTTAAGAAAGTCACCCGACAGTCGAGTGTAGAGTGATTAATCATCATCCCCAAAGTTTCGTATTTACTTCATCTTTCGTTCTCTTATCACTATCAGTAACCGTCTATGGTCTAGTTATCTTTCGTTATCTGATCTAGCTGGTTCAGCTCTCACATCTCAGCTCTGTAACCATTGATATTCTGGCATAAAAGGTACTTTTACTGCATGTACTTCTCCTCTCTGTGCTCCAGGATGGATAAGATTTAAAGAATGTCTCTACACATTTTGACCTCAATAGGTAGGAACGTCTGCACTCTAACACTCCACTTTAAGTTGTATGCTATTATCTTTTACACGATAATCTTTAAGTTTATGAACATGTACAATTTGAGCATTAGGCGCAGCTGTAATCCAGCTTGCATTCTGAGTCAATACTTCAGCTCAGCCTACCTCGCGAACATTCCAGAACACATTTTAATAATAATATGTAAATGGGGGAGAAGTTTCCGGACTCAAAGTCAAAATATGAGATTCAGAAAATCTTCTTACCGAGGCACCACCTATGAGTATGACTATGCTGAGCGAATTGTAGCCTTGTTGACCGATCTTGAAGACTTGTTTTAACAACTTTATACCAGTACTGACCGCGTAAATATTTACGATGACTCACACCATGATTAAATTGCAAAGGAGAAAAGAAACAGAATTTACGATCGAAACGATCGAAAAATCATGTTACAGAGTTTTATAAAATAAGAATATGATAATATAAAATCAAAGAACAGTATCATTATTCATTATTCATCATGTCTGGATAACAAGTGTAACAAAAGACAGTATGCTAAATCACTACGGTTAAAACTACGTTTCTACATAATCAATCGACTCAAAATTAAGATAAAAATTAATCTTAAATCAAAATAGTCAAGTTTTGTTTTTAAAAGCGTAAGAAAATGCAAAAACATAAATTTTGATAAGTCTTAAATCCGATTTCTGCCGGATTTGCTCAAGTCCCGGATACCCCCCTCCTGCAGAGCGGTCAGCGCTCTGTCTTGCTTTGGTAAACTAGGTTTTGTGTCACTTCCTGATTTGCCGGATATCTTATCTTGGTACTGATTAATTAGACCACCGACTTTCTTGCCGACAGCCATGTTTTTAGTTACGTAGAACCTGAAATACCATCGTTTTCAATCGAATTTTTCGTGGGATGAATAGAAATACTACATTGAAATAATATTTTAGACCGTTTAAATATTGCTCCAGTTAGATGTTACATGTTTTGCTGATTGCAGCCAATCTGGGATGCTGATAGAATATGCGTACCTCTAATCAGATAAATGCTAAAAGTAAAACGTGCATCATGCAACCTTGACAAGAGGGTTTCATGCAACAAAGTATTGATTTAAAAAATGATTAATAGACAATTTTATTCATATCAACGGGGTGATTAAACCGCAATTAACATGCAACGCACATTATTTTTTATCAACGTAGAATCGGAAAAGTCAGCGCAAACAATAAAACAGCTTCTTTAGGTGTTCCAATTATATACTATATAGGTTGCACAATCAAGAAATAGAGACGGAAGATTAAAACGAAGATCGGTACAGAAGATGAACAAGAGATCCAGACGAAATCATGCCTAGTAATTAATTAACGTTGCTCCATGGGTTCTCACGTTATGTATAGGTTACTGGATTTGGTTGTCGCTTTTTTATCGTTGAAACGGAATAGTTAATTTCACCGACTACCCCGCTCTTCCCAGTGTAATATCTAATCAAAATAGTGAGATTGAAAACCAGCATCAATTATATGATTTGGATTTGATCGCTATTTGATTTCATGAAATAAACAGTAGTTGAGTAGAAACACCGCAACCCTGGGTAATGTAAAGACAGCGGAATCTTCACAGCAAAAACTCAACTCCCTGATGGAACCTGGGTCCCTAATCTACCTTACCTCTTCCGGAGATCCTTGATAAGCTTTTCCCGGTACTGGTCGACCTTGTCACTGTACCGCACGTCCCCGAGTAGCGGCTTGTTTGAACATCTGGATTAAGAGGCGAAGTTAACCACCATGATGATAGGAGGCCAATTTGATACGAAACGAAAATAACTTCAAGCTAAATTCGGAATCGTTCTTCGTTTTGTATTATTCGCAATTGTTGGAGCCTAAATAAGTGGAATCAGAGATAAACATTTGTTTTCTTGGCGCTCATTGCACAGATATAAGAAGTCTAACCTGAACATCCTAGAGAAGATGATGATGCTCATGTGACAGAGGAGGTTGAAGGGGGCTGGATAAGACTGACCTCCCATGTAACCTCTAAACATGAGGGCTCGTGCGAACTTCCACTCTACATCCGACTGGTGCTGAATACGCTCAAACGTGGTGGTTAACATGGCGATTAGCATGTTGAGGAGGAGCACGGCACTCATCAGTAGATACGCTGAGGAGAGGTATTATTAAGATTAGTTAATATAACTAGGAGCATCAACTAAATAAGTAGTCTCCTAACTTTATAGGGGGGGGGGGGGGGGGGGGGGGGGGGGGGGGGGGTAGCAGTTGACCAACCATAATTTGGCATAATTTGGACCAAATATGGGTGTGGCTGTCCCACGGGCACCGGTGGGCACCCAGAGTCGGGAACCCCCTCAAAAGTTTAGTCATAGGCCCTAGTTTGTTGGTCAATTGCTATCTCGAAATCAAATTTCACAACAAAATCAGGGTGAACCCCCTTAAATATCATTCTTGTATCACGATAGAGTAATGCTTTCAATAGAAATTTACCCAAGAAAACATTTCAACTATACGACTCATAAATAATAGTCCAATCCGGATTTAACACGATAGAGTAAGCTAAATTCCAGATAAACGATTGATTTTATTATATTATAGACTATTAAACATTTAAATTCATATCTCACCTGTAAATATGATGTAAAAGATAACGTAGACACCCATCTTTTTGTCTTCATCATCCCTCATTTTCTCAATGAAGTCAATGAAACCAAACAAGGCCCACAGAAGAGTAGCTATTGTATTGGGTAGACTCTTAAAATTGTTAGGTATTTCTTCACCCGGGTACAAGTGAGGAATTTGTTTCATCAACACCATTATAGTCACTGAGAAAGCAACTAAAATTATTATTAACAGCAACATTATTTGCATAAGGTCCCCAATCATCGACTTCATCGCCAACTGCAGGGGTCCTATAACGTTATTTGAGTCTGTTAAGCTCAAGAATTTAATAGTCTGAAGGAAGCCTAGTGTTCCATACATGATCCACGCTATACTCTGGTAGAACTCATCGTGTTCCGTTAACTCTCTCCCTGGTTCTATCTTGTTTATAGTGTAGATTCTTACACCTGCTGTTGCAAAAAGCAACACTATAATTAAAATGTCAACTTGATTCCAGAAATGAGTCAAATAGTTCTTCCAGCCTAATTTCCGAAGTTGAATAAATTCCGTGTATATTTGACCAACAATACACGACCACAGAATATACTCGAAGAACATTTCAAACTGCGTAGACCGCGTCGGGAGTTCCTCTTGTAAACAAATAGCCAATAGGAACGCGAAACAAAGAATGAAACTAATGGAATCTGCAATGAGGCACAGCACTGGTGTACCCATAAAGTCGATGTATTCTCCTAAATCAGAATATCTCAACTTTCTCTGGCGGGGATCCTTCATCAAGTACTGAACACCGTAAAATGGGAATATCAAAACAGAGAACCACCAGTAAAAGAACAGAGATATCTTGTTCCAGATTGAGGAGTTCATGAACCTCCCAAAGTTTTGCTCTTTCAGTAAACTTTGAACAAAGGGATGAGCCACAAACTCTTTCTTTCTGAAGTATATAATTTCGTTATTTCGTGTTAGGAAACCCAAAAACATGACATATTACGCACGGATATTCAATTGCAAAAATGTGATTATACATACACAGCGAAATTTTTTTTGTGCCATCGAGCTCATAAAGTCATAAATCGCAATATGTTCCTCAAAATAAATAGCAGAATTGTCGAAACAAGACTCGAAGTTCAATTCTAGAAATAAAGTAATGCCCCTTATATAACATAGGAGTAGAAAACGTTAACTGGCAAGAGAATTTGAGGAGGGGTGCCTTGAAGACTAGGGTTTTACTTACGATGAGCTTATAGCCTTATCAATAATCTTCATCTCTCTTGAGAGTAGTCGTCTTGCTTCCCACAAGTTCTCACATTGATCAAGAAAACTATAAGCAAACGTTTCGCACTGAAAATGCAGAAGTTACAATGTGTCTATGTTATATAGATCAGGAGGTGACCGGGAATCCCGGTACCGGGATTGGCAATTTTGAGCTATCCCGGTCCCGGTCCCGGTCCCGGTCAACCGGGTCAAGTCACATTTTTCATCCCGGTCGCGGTCCCGGTCCCGGTCAAATGCTGATTTATGATCCCGGTCCCGGTCCCGGTCCCGGTTAATTCAGGATTCTTGGTCCCGGTCCCGGTCCCGGTCAATCACTCAAATTTGCCGGGATTTTGACCGGGATCTTTTACATAATTTCATTCACTGTGATTTTAAGTTTTGACTTTCATTCATTGTGAATTTCATCTTTAAACAACGCTCTGAGCCAAATAAAACAATGTTTAAAATTGCTAAACAAGTTTAGGTAACTAATATCGTTACATAACTCATAAGTGCAAACTAACATCAAGTTTTCAACGCCCAATTGTCAATTGTCAATTGGAATTGGAGAATGAAACTGTTGAATAATTTGAGGGATCATTGATTGAGGAATGAGGAATGAGGGTGAACTTGAGTAATCAGTACATGAACATTATTGGTGTAGTACATTAGGCCCATGCCCCATATTGACGGTTTTTTAAAAGTTTGTTCTAATTTAATATTCTAGTTATTACTTATTCAAATTGTTCAATTATAATGTAAATGAAAGTTGCAGCTTTCAATATGAGAATACCAGTTTTGGTCCCGGTCATCCCGGTCATCCCGGTCAAATCCCGGTCATCCCGGTAAAATTGGATTGTTGGTCCCGGTCCCGGTCCCGGTCCCGGTAAGATAGAAATCCCAGAAATTATTGGTCCCGGTCCCGGTCCCGGTCACGGTAAATTGATAATCTCAGTCCCAGTCCCGGTCCCGGTCCCGGTCAGGTACATTTTGTATCCCGGTCCCGGTCCCGGTCCCGGTCAGGCCTAAAATCATGTCCCGGTCACCTCCTGATATAGATATATTTACTAACTATGTATTATATATATAGACATAGTTAGTAAATAACGTCAGAGTCATAAGGGTGCTTTAAACTCTATGATTAGTAATCATTAATATGAAGTAGGGGGGGGGGGGGGGGGGGGGAGGTGGTCATGACTATTTTTGAGAGTCTCGACGAAAATGCCAAATTCTCATTCTCAAAAATTGTTTTTGAGAAAAGTTTCCAGGAGAGGCGAAACCTCATTCTCAAAAATTGATTTTGAGTATTTTTGGACCACATTGCACTGATATGAAGAATGATTTGGTATATCACTATTTTTGAGTGGACAATTTTTGAGAAAATGAGAAATCCATGCTTAATTTCTCAGATTCAAAAATGATTTTTGACTGGAAAATTTTGAGAAAATGAGAAATCCATCCTGAATTTCTCAGATTCAAAAATAATTTATGAGACATTTTTGAGTATTCCCGGCTAAAATGGTCAAATTCTCAGATTAAAAAATTCTCAAAATTACTCATGAACCCCCCCCCCCCCCCCCCCCCCCTACTGAAGTATTATTTAGTGTACCTCTTGTGCCAGCGAGCTGTATATATCGCGGTATTCCTCTCGCCGTTTCGCTAGAATGTAAAGTTTGTTGCTGACGCTGAATGCCGTCAATATCGGCTCTTTAGTCGCTGCTAGAATCGGCGGTGACACCAACATTTTCACCCCTGAAAATACACAGGAGTCAGGAGGTTAGGAAAACTTCAGCTCAGACAGATTTTCAAGTTCTATTTTGTTATCTCACCTAACCAAACATTCCCAAATCACAACAGAAGAGAAATGTCACCACAAGGACCAATACAAACCGAAGGAGTGCCCGGAAAATACTTTAAATTGGATTCCAGCGATATTATCAAACTGTCAACAAAGTAAGGAGAATAATTATCACTAAAATTATAGATGTGATATTTTTAACAAACCAGTTAAGGAGAAAGCTTTCTCATCGTTAACCCAATCGTTGCCAATTTGTGGATTACAAATACAGTTGAGAGCTTGCTGAAAATATTTACACCTTAAAAAATAAAATAACAATTAATATTATAAACTCATTCTATCACGTGTTGCTATATTTCGGCATTAAGACTGTTTAATATATTTATTATATTCGTGGCAATGCCAACCCTCGCGTAAGAAAATGTCACATATAATAACTATTTGCTGTCTAAATAGACAGGATTTTATAGACGAAATTCGCACTAAATTACAGAATCTGATATTTCATGATAAATACAATAGGAATCACTTCAATACTGGCTAACTGACTACCCGACAAAACACAAAATACCAATAAAATCTACTACTCCCAGTCTGGCTATCGTCTGTCAGGCACCTTAACAAATGTCCTCCTTGCATTCCACGTATTCCTGCATATTCCTGCATATTCCTGCATATTCCAGCCCGACAGTCACACATCCTCACCTGAATCTCAGCTCCTCTCTCCACCAGGACCCGAACCAGTTCTTTGTTCTGCGCTTTTGCCGCGCGCGACAGTGACGTTTCCTTTTGGAAGTTCTTGCTGATGGCGTTCACGTCCGCGTCACGTTCAATCAGGAAACGGACCAAGTCGTTGTGTTCCTTTTCTACCGCGAGCATCAGAGCTGTGCGGAGGGTTTGACATGTCAGTTACTGTTATAGCTGTTATTGCTTATAAAATGTAACAAGGCGTCAACACTTGTAATTACATAATCATATTATGATAACTTACAATTAAGATTGATTTGTTAATCCTACCAGACAGGCACGGTAACTCCAAGTACAGTTAAAATCATCAATGGGACTTCAGCTTTACATTGAATGGCTTCGTTTGATCATAAACTAGTTCAGATTTAATCTAAATTTAGGTTAAATCACGACAATTTAATACAAATGAAAATGAGTAAATAATATTTTCCTGCATGTTTCTACACTCTACAGTGGTATGCAATATGCATGTCCCATAAAAACAACCGGGCGTCCTAATCAGAATATGGGGACACCTAACATTAATAAAAGCGTTTATATTACGACGCTTCAGCTGACCTGTTACTCCGTAAGAGTTTGAGAAGTTGATCACTTCAGGATTCTGATCCAGGGTCTTCCTGATCTGCTCCATGTTTCCGTCTCGTACCTGCACCAGGAACTTGTCCCCCACCGAGGTAGGGGCCGCATTGGAGGACGACTGAAGTAAGGTGCGTTAAAGACGGTATCAGATATATTCTTTGTTTTTCTAGTATCTAGTACTACACTTATGAGATGCCTTATTGGGTATCTTAGTAAAGGCATCTTTTCCATCCGCTTCTTAGATGAAACACGACCGCTAGCTAGACGGTACTTTCTGGGTACGTGATGCAACATGATTGGGAATAATAAGATGAGCAATGAGACAAAGAGCTGAGGAATGGAGACAATGATTTGTGGAATGCTGTGGACAGAAAGCGTACCAATTGGCTGGAGACTGTTAAACTTTCGACTGATCGGACTGTCTCGAGATGGTTTAAAAGTCAAAAATTTGATTTTGCATTCTTCCTTGCTCCAGAAGTTCACTTACACGGCTCTTAGAGAAAAATTTAGTCATAAGCTTGATAACAGATATACCAGACTAGAGCATGATATCTAGACTGGTAGACTAGTATACGGTATCAAGATGAACTACAACAACAAGTCTGAAAGTGCTGGATAATATCTGTCATAATACCGGCAGTTTATCAAGAGGGATTGTAGAAATCAGCTCCGTTTAATATCCTGTAAACTCACTGCCAATACTGTCAACACTCGACAGTGGAATATGAAATTATTAAGAGATACTTTATCCATGACTTGCTTATTCACTTACTGAAACCAACACGATATGCATCTTAGGAATGCAGCACTCAACCACCAGACAAAACGAGATATAGTAAGCGTTTGGTGTGTGGAGCCCTTTTTATTGTAAACCGGAGGTGGGCGGAGAAGTGGGCTATTATAATTGGATTAGAATAGAAAATCGAAGTTTAATTAGTGGTGCAGTGTAAAGTATAGTAAGATGGGTAGTGCCATCTAAATTAAGTGAATAAAAAGAAGGGTTGTCAGTTGTCACGTACGTACAAGACTAGCTCTGTTTGGTGCCTTTGATATCTGCGAGAAAGCGACAAAGCTAGGCAATTACAGTTGTTTGATACGCAAAGGATATTTACAGTATGAGGATTATAAAGAGAAATGTGTTGTGTAGTGCTCTGAGTCTAACTGTTAGTTTCTCTTTTAAGGTCACACTGTGCTCTACTCCTATATGATTGTACTAAAGCTGAGCCCCTCCTTCCCAGTTTTAATTGGGAAATTTTAACGTAAATTTTAGCCCAAAAATACTTCCGGGAAAAATTTAATTTTGAGAAGGCTGTAAAGTGTTAAAATAAACTTTGGATTATAGGCTAACACAGTTGAACCTGCAAACCCACCAAATATTGAAACTCATTGTCCTTGCTGTTGCCAGCAATGTTCTGGATAGAGCTGAGGACCACTTTAACCCTTCTCCACCCTGATAGCATCCGACTCTTCTCCATCCACCCACTCTACAGTCTAGACAATAAAACAATGAATAGCGCACAAAAACACCATTAATACTGGTGTTGCAAGACAGGCAGCTGTTAGAGACGAGGAATGTCTCGCAATATGCAGCGATGAAATCACTTGTGGCATGTGGCAAGTGTGGCAGCTAGAATTGGGAGAAGGAAAATAGGTCCGCTATATATTATCAGCTACAAAGGATATTGTGCTAAAAGATATGGGGAAAGGCCTCTGTCTCCGAGTTGTATACTATTTAGAGTGTCGAGGAGGCGCTGAATTCTATATAGAAATCATGGTATACTAGCACCGCGGTATGCAGTCAAGTATATTCAATCTAATCAAAGATAATTTGAGTCAAAATATGTGCGAATGTATTGTTAACGGGGCTTGACACTGTAAAGGTCTGCAGTGTTCAGAAGAGGAGGTGAACTGTTTGACAATATCGATAGTTAAGGAATGTGTTACGGCTATTGAGCACATCAGATTGTATACAACCCTCCACAAACACTTATCAGACTTATCTGACTTGTGGATACAGCCACATACCGGTCGGTGCGGGACACGACAAACAAAAGCCGCGAGTGCCCCAGACAACTGTCAAGTGCCGAGTGCGACTAGAGCCGCGCGGTGCCCCAGACAACTGTCAAGTGCCGAGTGCGACTAGAGCGCGACTAGAGCAGGGAGTACTAACAGGAACTGCAAACGAGTGCAGAGTGAGCTGCAAGTACAGAGCGAGCTGCGAGTGCTATTACATACTATAACTGCAAACGAGTGTCATTCTAGACTTTGTGATCTTGTCATGATGACACTTTGATATTAAAGTGGAGAAAATGACGTAATAAAACAAACTATGCTTCATGTAGTGATGAGAGAGCTGAACAGTCCCTCTTTACTAGAATTAGCTACAGTTATTATTAGCTTCAAAGCAGCATCAGCTCACTAAAGTCTAAACCTAGTTAATGTTTACCGTGTTATTATCTGGCGTCCCTCCTGCAGTCACCAAGTTTTGTAGTGACCCCATAACTGCAGTCTGCATCCTTTGTAGGTTACTCAGCCTCATAGTCATCTTAACCTCCACAGTGGTGTCACAGTGGTGTCACGTGGGTTTCTGACACCCTTCTTTTCTCACCAGACACACGAACCGAGCAGCCCTACAAGAAAGCTCAGAGCTAAGGGAAACCGGATACTACTACAACAAAGTGTACAAAAAACGAGGAACAATGTTGGAGAAATAGTGAGAATGTAGCTGAGTTATACTTGTTGTTTATGGGAAGCTCAGTGCCTGGGGTAGGATGACTGTTAACAGTGGGTAGTAGTTAGATAACTGTTAACAGCCTGCATTCTTTATACCTTACCTTGTACACTAGTGGCACTTTACCAACACTTTACTAACACTTTACTAACTACTGCCGGGTGTGGAGCGTGCTGCTTTACAGCTAATATTAGATTGCCTGTACCTCACCTCATTAGTGCTACAACAGAGTCACCTCATTGCTAAAACGCACTAAAACAGAGCCGGGTTGTTTTACCAGGAAGCCACTACAGGTTTTACATTGGTTAAGGTATGACATAGTCAGTTGCTGGTGGATTTGTTAAAGATTGAAATGTTTATTCTTTTTAAAGTAGGGTTCTGGAAGCTAGCCGTCAAGATATAAGGAGCCAGAAATTATGTTAATGAGGACTTCAGGATTGATCCGATGATAGTTGAAAGTTGAAACATAACAACTGAGTGTTACACAAGTGTTACTCTTACTATAACACTTGTGGATATGCTTCTCCGAGCTTTTCATTTAGAATTAAAGCCTTCATATTATGGAGCCAGGATGTGGACTAGCCGTACCTCGTTAAAGTATTTAATTATCATATACATAATAATACTCAAATTATTTGTTATTATACATAGTAGTGTTGAAAGTATTAAAACTTGTTTGATAGCCGTTTCGAATTATATGTACGTGGGCTGCCCATTAGCCGGCTGGTAGGGAAGACTCTTAAAAGCCTCCTTCAGCCGAGAAGCCAAAACATAGGAATTCTGAGCTGAGACATGATTCATGTTTTGATGACTTATATCTTTGATAATCTCTAAATATAGGCATCAGGATTTTCAGTCGTTGGATAGTGGGAGGATAAAGTATGGCAAAAATAAACGTATAATGTATATACATTATAAAGTATGTTATGTTGCATTATACATAATGTATGTTGTACTATTATATATTATACAGTACAACAGTTGTGGAAGAAAATACAATCCCGAAACCTTAATGACGTGAAATCCTATAACCTGGACAATAAGGACTTGCCAACCTTTATCACTTACTAATTATCTAATTACTAATTACTAATTATAGTATCATAGTACTAGATAATGATACCAAACATATTATACTCGATCAGTTCAGCGATCATTCAGCTCCAAAACGTGCTGGATACTAGAGACAATGGGTAGGCAGTATAGTTTACACTTCACTGGTGATTGTGATAAGTGCGATCTATAGTTCAGAGAAGAAACCTTTTAAACAAGAATTTCGCCGCGGTTAAACCACGCACGATCAATTTTCCCTACGATGTACTTGTATCTTGTAGTTGTACCATTAATTATTTCGAGTGAAAAGTGTGACCGGAAAAAGTGCAACATATTTACATACTTTGTTTTTAATAAATGAGTGGGATTCACGCATGGTAAAAATTGACGATTTATTTGACCAATGTAGTGCCGCGCGCATCAACAATAAATGAATCCAGAAAATTGCGGAAAATAACTTTGCGAAGGAGGAACTTCACTGTAATCAATTAACACATGGCTAGCGTCGCGCGCAGCATAACAAACGCTTCCAATACACATAATTATAGGGGAATGGTCTATATTGCGAAGGAGCAGACTTTTGTCGTCAACGTAGGACCGTCGGGCCACCTCATATATCTAAACCCGATTACTTATTCCCTACGATCTTTTTGCCTTCGGCAAGAGTAGGGAAAAAAATTGTCATTTTCCTTGAAAACTAACGACTATACCTACCATAATTTGCATACAATGAATATTGTTAAAGAAGAATTACATTATAATGACCAACATGAGCGACAAAACAAGAGCAAAGATTACTGATACGCTTTCAATGAACGTTTACTAATGAACGTTTATAACATTTATTTATAATGAACGTTTATTCCAAAGCAATTTCGGTGCGAAAATGTGGAAAGTTGCAGAGAATGTGTCCTCAACTATCCCCGTAGTTGTATAGTAGTTCATTAACGAACCAGAAATCTGTACAGACTAAGAACGGAACATACATAAAACCGTAGCATATTGGAGTGACTCAATTAACTTGGAGCCACATTTTCTTGGAGCCGCGCAATGTTCTTACAAACTAAGACTACTGCAGGTTAATGCAAGATGAGCAACATTTCTACGAACAATCAGGAGGAAATAGAGTTAACTAATTGTACAACTAACTGTTATAGTCAGTGTAACTAACTGTAGAACTAACTGCAGAATGAGAATTACCCACCTTGTCCCTACCGTCGTCATTACTGAGCAGACTTCCTTTTGAGATTAGCTTCTTCATCTGGTTTGCCACTGACGATTGCTGAAATAAAAGTAGGTAAAAAACAAAGTACTATAACTAGTGTACAAAGTACAAACTACAACGCTAGAACAATACAGCGTTAGATCAGACAGCAAATACTGAGACAGGACTCCTATATGATCAGATCTGTAACAAAATTCCAAATAATAAAACAGGGATTTAATATACAGAGCTGGTTATTACAGACATCAGAAAATATAAAAGTAACGCAGCAGTATTTGTACGTGCCACACCACGTTTATCAGACACAACCCGTACGTGGTATGTGAGTTCTGGTCGCTATGGTAACTATGTAAGTGCTGCCAGCTGCACGTGTGAGATTATTCTTACTTATCACGTACTTTTTTGTGTGCATTTCTTTTTAAACTCATAGAGAGGTCAGTAGACTGAGGGAACAAGTGAAATACAGCAATAAGTTTATCATACACAGCTGTACACACAACTAACATACAGTTCCAAGGAAATAATAAATAGTCTGTTATTGGATCAGGTAGGGGGGATCAGGTATAACGGGGGTACACTGCAATTTAAAGGTGAGTAGATGATATTGTAAACGTTTCTGGAAATAGAGGACAGAATTCAGTTCCGCGAGGGAAGTCATACATGTAATAGTTCAGGCGATTATTTTGGTTTTTCTGTTCAATCTTCCACTTTGTACAACAAGTCGTACAATCTGAATGTAATCTTTTTACAAATGCTGGAATATCTCCACTATGTATATATCTATATCTGGGTATGTGTTGGTAGTGCTTCTTAAAATATTTGATATTTTCGTCACTGGATGTGAACAGTTTCAAAATATTAATTGAAATGTTTGATGACTCTGAATATTCTAAATGTCGTTGAGTTTAACATCAAAGAAAATATCAATATATTTGTCATTTTAGTCTCGCTGGTAACCTATCCAAAAATTTTAATACATACCTTAGCTGCGATCATTTTCAAATGCATTGTGTGATCGAAAAAAGCAATAAAAAACAGCAATATTCCGACGAACATTTTCAAAGTTTTGCGGGGGGGGGGGGGGGGGGGGGGATCAGGTACTAAGTGTATGACCCCCCCCCCGCACAGAACGTCTTAGTGTATACAATAAACTCTTCATAATGGTGTGATACTGTGAGGCGGCCTAATGACTAGAGGGAGTCACAGTTAGAATTTCAATATTAAGTGCTTCCAGTTGTCATCTTAACTTGTAACGTGAATAACACGCTAATCGTTATAGAGGCCGCAGAATTGAAGAAGAGCGATATTCCTGGCATGAGGTAAAGTGGAGGTAAAGTGGAGGTTAAGTGGAGGTAAAGTGGAGGTAAAGTGGAAGTAAAGTGGAGGTAAAGTGGAGGTAAAGTGGAAGAAAAGTTGAGGTAAAGTGGAAGTAAAGTAGAGGTAAAGTGGAGGTAAAGTGGAAGTAAAGTGGAAGTAAAGTGGAAGTAAAGTGGAGGTAAAGTGGAGGTAAGGTGGAAGTAAAGTGGAGGTAAAGTGGAAGTAAAGTGGAAGTAAAGTGGAAGTAAAGTGGAGGTAAGGTGGAAGTAAAGTGGAGGTAAAGTGGAAGTAAAGTGGAAGTAAAGTGGAAGTAAAGTGGAGGTAAAGTGGAAGTAAAGTGGAGGTAAAGTGGAAGTAAAGTGGAGGTAAAGTGGAGGTAAAGTGGAAGTAAAGTGGAGGTAAAGTGGAAGTAAAGTGGAGGTAAAGTGGAGGTAAAGTGGAAGTAAAGTGGAGGTAAGGTGGAAGTAAAGTGGAGGTAAAGTGGAGGTAAAGTGGAAGTAAAGTGGAGGTAAAGTGGAGGTAAAGTGGAGGTAAAGTGGAGGTAAAGTTATAAAACACGTTTTCCAGATATAAGAAGTGTTGAAATGTCTCCCCTACATGCAAGGCTAACTAACCGGGGAGTTTAACCGCCTCTAAACTGCACTGTGGAAAGTTGTGGAAAGTTGGATTTCCTAGATTATATTGGGTATCAAGACAGCCATTCTGGAGTAGCCACAGTTAACTGAGAACTGTATTTTTAGAATAGCTATCGGCTTTCGAGAACTTATAATTGGATTAACTATCGGCTTTCTAAAATTTTATGAAACATTTACATGTAATTTGATATACTATGGCTTCTTGTTTAACGGAATAAACGACGTCGTGTAACCCAGTTTTCAAGGTACAAGTAATAAAACTTGGATTCGTATTACATAATCAAATTGATCTTTAAAGGTTACTAAAGGTTTTAAACCTACATTTTAGATATGCAAACTTATATAAGTTATAGAAGTAATGCTTATCTGACATCTCATTTAAAGCATACATTTTATTTCATATAACCTTTCACTGTACTAACAATCAAGCGAATCTACCAGTTAAGCTCTTTTATGAATATGCCTCAATGCTGCAGGTAGAGATAAGTATAGGGTTAAGGTAGATTACTATTTTTGGAATCAGACATCATTACCAGTAAACACCTCAGGAGAGTCCTGTTCATAAACGTAACAAGTGTTAGGCTGTTAAAGTATTGTACAGAACAGGGAACTACTTGGAGTAGCACTATGTCGGAACAGTTGATGTCCGACAAAAAGTAATCGATGACGTAGATGAGTCAATGTCGGAACAGTTGATGTCTGACAAAAAGTAATCGATGACTTAGAATCGACGTCGTGGATGAGTCATATAGCCACTCAATGAAGTGTGCCTAGAACAGGAACGTCATGATATGAAGTAAAAGGGGAGAACTGTAATTAAACAAAGACAATAAAACTAAAAATGTATAAACCTTCCCGATGGACCTCAAAGCGCTCATCAAGGGACTAGAAGACCCCGTCTCACCTCCCTTGAAGGTATACGCAGTGGAAATATCAATATCTAGCGAGTCTATCCTGATAGTATCCTGTCCTGCTCCCAACACCTGATCCAACTCATCCAGCACAGCTTCCTCCTCCTCAGACAAGTGCCCGTCTATCAGCGATGACGTCACACTGTGTCGCTTGACGTCATAATCTCGTTCCGGCTTGTTGTTTTCAACCAGACCATCAGGCTCGAGGTTAACTAGCGGAACCTGCTCCGCAGTGACTGGAAGTATTCCCGTACCAATTACATCCGATTCTGTCCTAGTCAGAAATATCTTCGGAATGGATTTCCTGCTTCCGGGACTTCGCGATATATCTGACATAAACTGGAAGGTTTTGTAATATAAACAGGGCTTTAGTCGCACTTAGCCGCACTAAGTCGCACTTTAGTCGCACTAAGACGTGTCCGGCGGAGAATATACTAACTAACGACACTGATCAGTAACTAAACAAATTATCAGATTGTACTACTATACAAGATGTGTTGGAATAGGCGGCTACTAATAAACTAATAAACTGCATTAAATGGAATGTAGATCTCGAGCGGGAACGAATTTGAAAACTAAGAAAAGTGACTTCTATAATACAAGTCTAACACATGTCTAAAACAATGTCCAATATGGAGCTAAAATACCGGAGCTAAACAATGTGTATCAGCCATATAGTGCTGAGTGTCCAGCAATTCAACTAATCACATAGAATAGCAGTATAGTGGGAACAACAAAACAAAATGTGAAGAGGGAGCTAATGTTAACGGGAGTTAGAAGGAGTTGTAACACTAACAGCACGCAGAACAAACACAGAGAGAGTGAGTGTAATTAGTTTTTAATGTTAATACAGGGCGGTGTGTGATGTCATCACACTCTTTACCCGATACAATTCTGCGAGCTAATGGAATCAGCGAGTGCGCGCTCTGCAGGTATTGGATACCGGACGTTTGTCCCGCTCTAGAAGCTGCGGTCCAGCATGTTGTTACACACATATTTCTAATATTTTCAACATTCTGACACCCCAGAAATTGGATTAGATGAGATCATCGATCATCATCATGTATATAAATCTTATCAAGCATATGATTGTAGAGTGTAGAAGTTTGATATTATATTCTTAAATCTTATGGCAAGTAAACTTAATTATGTGCCGGATTGTGAGTATTAGAAACAGATTGTGCCATGCCCATATGTTAATATGTACATATTTAGGGTTACGAATCTGATGTTTGGTGGTTATACTGACTTTAATAAGGTTTTGTGATCAATGTCACGTGACTTGGAACTTTACATCAGCTTACTTAATTACTCACTACTTACCAGCAAGAAAATATGTATTTGTAATAATTTGAAATTATGTATTTGTAATAATTTAAAAATATGTATTTGTAATTTTGTATAAGCACGTACTTTGTATGAAATTAAAGAACTTAACGATGCAATGTTACACCCCCAATTCTTATATCTACGGTTTGTTTAAAGGGTGTGTACATGGTGGACTTCAAAGAAATGTATCGTACAAAGGGAAGAGAGACAACTGTATATCTGGAATGTTCGTGTGAAGTCTAATTATTGACACAGATCGTGAAAATGAAGCATTTAAAGATGCATCTACACTGTAGAATTTCCAATATAAACTTAATAAATTATCATCCTGACTGAGTTCGTAGTAAAAAAATTACAAATGCAAACAAATGTATACGTGGTGTTAACAAGAAAACCAAATGAAAGTTTTTGTAACCAGAGCAAGAGAAATGCACAGAGCACGATCAACAGCAGGTACTATAAAGCGGCTCTGACCGATCATTTAGAGAATTCCTGTAAAATAATGTATTGACAGGCTGCCCAGAAAGGTAAAGGAACACCTACCTAACAGGTACCCTTATAAAAAATAGCAGAATTTTGTCTCACTTATTTATAACTTATACTTACAACTTTATACTTACAAATGTATTACCTGGGGACCCCAGGCTATTATATTTATGTTCATAATCATAGAGTAGAGATTTGGCGGAATGACGGGCTGAGCGCCGCCTAGTAAACAAATTTATAGTAAACATAACTTACTTGGAACTTACTTACAAATTTATAGTAAATATAACTTACTTGTAAACAAATTTATAGTAAATATAACTTACTTGGAACCTTCCATCCTCCAGGGCCTCCATGTTCGGAGTGTTTATGATAATGAAATCAACTGTGGATAAACTCGACATATTGCAAAACGTTTACTTTACCAATTACACGACACGACACGGTACGATAGATACGACATTAGATAATGTGTACTCGACACTGGATATTATAGGAGGTTAGGAGATCCTAGATAATAAGTGCTAATTATAGCGCTCTCACTTGATTACTGTTCATATATACATTAGATATGTTATGCATTAGATATATCATGCATTGTGTTAAGATTACATTGTGTTAAGATTACAATTATGAGCACGATATTTTCGACGTGTTTCTTGAAAATTGTGGGATGAATGACAAAAAATGTGACAAAATTTTTTATATATGAATTGTGTGAACTTTTCACCATGAATGACAAAAATATTGGAACAGAGGTTCTGAATTCTGATGTAGGTTTCAATCGCAGATCAACCAAAAATTGTAGTACCAGTGTTTTGAGTTTTCTAGTCCGTGATAAAACCGTGAAAAACACGTGATAAAATGTGAAAAACACGTGATAAAATGTGAAAAACACGTGATAAAACCGTGAAAAACACGTGATAAAACCGTAAAAAACAAGTGATAAAACCGTGAAAACACGTGATAAAACCGTGAAAAACACGTGATAATACCGTGAAAAACAAGTGATAAAACCGTGAAAAACACGTGATAAAACCGTGAAAAACACGTGATAAAACCGTGAAAAACACGTGATAAAACCGTGAAAAAACACGTGATAAAACCGTGAAAAACACGTGATAAAACCGTGAAAAACACGTGATAAAACCGTGAAAACACGTGATAAAACCGTGAAAAACAAGTGATAATACCGTGAAAAACAAGTGATAAAACCGTGAAAAACACGTGATAAAATGTGAAAAACGCGTGATAAAATTAAAATGCGAAAAACACGTGATAAAATGCGAAAAACACGTGATAGAATGTGAAAAACACGTATTGATTGTTAAGTGCTGAAGTTAGACAGCTCCACCTACCAACTCCATGCTCATCATAGTGACGGTCGCTCTCCGTCTCTTGGTCGAGACTCTGTTGGCCGGAACCCTGCTGAGCGACATTCCGGCGTCTTGCGGAGGAAACAAGTCGTCTAACCGCAAACAAGGGGGCGAGGAAACTTACTAAAGAGAAGAGACTGACACGTGTACAACTTACAAGAAGAGAGACTGGGTTATGTGCAGTAAGCAGCCGTTTCAGTCTAACAAAGTGAATGATGGCTGTAGCGGACTACAGAGTGCTGGTTTGTAGCGGACTACAGAGTGTTGGTTTGACAGATCAGCTCTGTGCTTGTAAACAATGCAGCAGAAACCATACTCATAGCAATATATGTGGCGACTGTGGTCTCGTACCACGAGCTGGTATTTGAAAAGTGAGCAGTATGATCCTAGATAAGTCACGTGATCCTAGATAAGTCACGTGATCCGAATACCGCATCCTAATGATGGTCAGAGATTAGGATTAATTCACAGAGGGATGGTGCACGTCACTGGACCAATTAACGGAGTTGTATACAAACATTACTGTTAAACTAGTCGACAAGTGGAGGATGTTTCCGCAAGAATGTGAGGCATGATCTGCCAATCAAGATATGCGTTCTTGGTTTTCCGGATTCCATCTCCGGTTTGAGATCGTTAAAGGAAGCTTTGAGGTTATGCAGGGTACTACTAAAACAGATGATGACTTCAGTTAATTTCAATAAAAACTTCATAATGGAGCATATTGTTATTTGTGTTTACTATGCATGTGACAAGATGACAGCATATTACTTGTATGGCGACTATTTACAGGTCACTGTTGCACTAAGATCGTTTAGGGAATTGTTTCTTGGCAAAGAACGATAAATTGCCATAGTAAACACTGACATAACTTCAACAATGCGAGCAATTTTTGTGGGTTTATTTGGCATACTTCAAAAATTTGTCTATCTGCCCACAACTTGTATGGTAAAAGTCTGCTTAATCCTTGAAAAGTTGCTCAATTTATGTATGAATGGAGTTATAGCAAAGTTTGGTCGCAGAAATAAAGCTAATTCAAGGACTCCTATTAATTTGTTCAGACGAAAAGGTCCTCCTGTTTCTCTGTGGGCCGAGGACATGCTGCGTAGCGTCCATCAACGTATTATCAATCATTGTACCGGATTCATTTGGACCATGCAGATTCATATAATGGTGGAGAGATATATTGATCTTGACATTCATCAACCAATTAGCTTCGAGCAGCGACCCAAGGGACCAATTAGCTTCGAGCAGCGACCCAAGGGACCAATTAGCTTCGAGCAGCGACCCAAGGGACCAATTAGCTTCGAGCAGCGACCCAAGGGACCAACTCAACAAAATATCAAAAAAAGGCAAAACGTCAGCAAAACTTGTACAACTAGAAAGCTAGAATGACGGAGTACAGGACAAACAATGGCATTTGTTCTGCGCATTAACCTACCAGAGCCGCACACCAACTATAAAGCGCACATAACTAACTCACGATAATTTATTGTCGATACAATTGCGTGATATAAAATGGAAACCTAAAATTTCCGTCAAATTAGCCACATTCCTCCCCGACTAATAGGTTTTACTGTCACGCCAAACAAGCCCAACTGATAAGACTCCTAATTGCACCAATTCATCCTGGATCAAGTGCAGTCATTACCTAGCAATTAACTGTATCCAAATCAGTAATTCCTTAAGGAACGCGGGAGTACACTTTATTTACTGTTCAGGTGCTGCAGTCAGTATGGTATGAAGTCTATGTTTTCGCCGCCTGGACTTCAAGAAGTAAGGAAATTGGAGAACTTCTGCATTAATTATCATAAATTTGCTAAATATGTCGTACAGAAAAACTTAATTAATTTTGAACCACACAGTTTGTACACAGTTTGTATTTCAGCCTGTGCCTTCCAGGAGTAAACGTGTCAGATTTTATGTTACAATTAGAGAATTAAATTGAAGTATAGTTTGATATCATGTTAATGATACTAATCCTAGTTAGATACGGACTCCCTTGTTATCTTTCGCCACGTTTTGAAAATCGCCCAAATTAAGAAGTGACGTCATTTTTTGACGCTCTCTTAATATAATTAAGCGTTACTGTTAGTTCTCATCTGATGCACCCAATAAAATAGACAGAAAATTTCGAAATGAAATAATTAACTCACACTTGTTATACTACTACCATCCGAGTCCATTTCTTCCCTGTATCTTGATTCCGAGGCTTTAACAACCACATTGTTTCTTAATCCAAGATAGGGGGAGGTCGGCGAGTACCTTCCCTTCATGGCGTCAAACGGAGCGGAAATAACAAGGCAGAGAGGGGGATTTGATGATATCATGGCAAGAAAGTGACGACAAAGTGACGAGTATATAACGAAATAAAAGAACGAATGGTGTTAAGTAGAAAAAAAGTCGGTCAGTGTGTAAAATGAGCAGCTATGAAGTAATCATTATCTGTCGTATGTATGCGCAGGATTCAAAAGAAGACATCACTTCTCACAGGAGCAATTGTTTGAGCACAATAACACTTAATATCCCCAATTAACCAGGTCTCTCTATACAGCATTGACCGGTCATAATTGGGTTTCATTATTCCATTTTTTGTCAGAAA